ATAAGAGTCTCACCAGGGCTGGGAAGATGGCTCAGTGGTAGAGCGCTTGCCTTGCATGCCTGAGGCCCTGGGTTCGATTCCTCAGCACCACATAAGCAAAATGAAAAAAGCTGGAAGAGTGGCTCTGTGGCTCAAGTGGTAGAGGGCTAGCCTTGAGCTAAAGAGCTGAGGGACAGAGCCCAGGCCCAGAGTTCAGGCCCCATAACCCTCATGGACTTTGCTGCCGGGGCTGGCTTTGAACCATGATCCTTAGATCTCAGCCTCCTGAGTAGCTATGATTACAGATGTGAGCCACTGGCGCCCAGCTACTAAATGTATTTATATCTAAATCTAATAAACTTGATTAATTTAAAAAAAATTTTTTATTTTTTTGCCGGTCCTAGGCTTGAACTCTGGGCCTGGGCACTGTCCTTGAGCCTCTTTGTGCTCAAGGCTAGCACTCTACCACTTGAGCCTCAGTGCTACTTCTGGCTTGTTTTTGAATAGTTTATTGGAGCTGAGAGTCTCATGGACTTCCCTGCCTAGGCTGGCTTTGAACCATGACCCTCAGATCTCAGCCTACTGAGTAACTTGGATTACAGGTGAGCCACCAGTACCCAGCTAAAATTATTATTTAAAAGACTAGAAAAAAACTTACTAAACTGCTAATCATTATCTATAAGCAATTATTTATTAGCATTATAATTTATAAAATTCTAACTTTTAAAAATTTTTTTCTATTTTTCAAATATTAAATATAAGAAACTTGGCATTCTTATTTTTTTTTTGTCAGTTCGGTTTTCACTCAGGGCCTGGGTGCTATCCTTGAGCTCTTTTGCTCAAGGCTAGTGCTCTACCATTTTGAGCCACAGCTCTACTTCTACTTGGCGATAAGAGGCTCACGTGGACTTTTCTACCTAGACTGACTTTTAACTCTGATCCTTAGATCTCAGCCTCTTTTTTTGGGGGGGTGAGAGGGGAGTCTGATGTGGGGCTTGAACTCTAGGCCTGGGTGCTCTTCAGCTCAAAGCTATCTCTCTACCACTGGAGCCACACTTCCAGCCTTTTCTATTTATGTGGTGCTGAGGAATCGAACCCAGGGCCTCATGCATGAGGGACAAGCACTCTACTGCTGAGCCACCTTCCCAGCCCCTCAGCCTCTTGAGTAGCTAGGGTTGTAGGCATGAGCCATTAGCACCTGGCCCTTCTTTTTTTTTTTGGAGCTAGAGATCTAACGTATAGTCTGCCTTATATTTACCAGGCAAGCACTCTACCCCTAAGCTACATCTCTAGCTCAGAACACCTTACAATACTTTTTAAATAATAAAAAAATAGTGGCTGGGAAAGTGGTACAGTAGTAGAGTGCTTGCTTGCATGTATGAGGCCCTGGGTTCGATTCTGCAGCACCACATAAGCAGAAAAAGCCAGAAATGGCGCTGTGGCTCAAGTAGGTAGAGTGCTAGCCTTGAGCTGAAGAGCTGAGAGACAGAGCCTAGGCCCAGAGTTCAGGCCCCACAACCGACAAAAAAATAAAAATAAATTAAAAAGTAAACACAGCTGGACTCAGTGGCTCATGCCTATAATCCTAGCTATTCAGGTAGTAAAGGAAGGATTGAACTTCAAGGTCAGCCAGGCAAAATGTTTGAGAGACTCCATCTCAACCAATAAAAATGTCACCTAGTGTCTCATGCTTATTATCCTTGCTATACAAGAAAAGTGGTCTACACATGAATATGAGACCCTATTTGAAGTAAGATTTAGGCTCAAGTAGTAGGGTGCCTAACAATGGCAAATTCCTGAGTTCAAACCTAATCTATATAAACAATGAAAAAGAAGTATAAACACATAAGAATATATATGTACATGTATACGTATATATGTACATATGCTAGGCACTAGTGGCTAAAGTTTTTAGTCCTAGTTACTCAAGAGGCTGAGATCTGAGGACTGTAGTTCAAGGCCAGCCCAGGCAGGAACATCCATGAGACTCTTATCTCCAATTAACCACCAGAAAATTGGAAGTGGAGTTATGGTTCAAGTGGTAGAACCCTTGCCTTGAGCTGAATAGTTGAGAGACAGACCCAGGCCCAGAGTTCAAGCCCCACAACTGACAAAAACAAATAAATAAAAGAAGCTGAAATCTGGAAGATCTTTGAAGCCAGGCTGGGCAGAATAGCCTTAGAGATTCCAACTCTAAAATAACCAGAAAAGACCAGGTTGAAGATGTGGTTCAGTAGTACAACATCAGCCTACCAAGTATAACTCCCTGAATTCAAACCCCAGCACTGTCCCCTCCAAAGAATATATAAAATGTGCATGTATATATGGATATGAAATGTCTGCAGATACATTAAATGTCAGAGCACCAAGGAGTTACATTAGAGAATAGCAATGGGGTGTAGTGGAAGATTATTTTTGTAGTGATAACTGATGCTTGAATTCAGAGCCTGAGGGCTGTCCCAGAACTGGAGAGTTCATTCATCTCAACCCTTGAGCCACACCTCTATTTGTAGCCTTATTATTTATTTTTAAGTTGTAGGTCTTGAACTCAGGGCCTGGGCGTTGTCCCTCAGCAATTGAGCTCACTACTAGTGCTCTAGCACTTTGAGCCACAGCACCACTGCCAGTTTTCTGATGGTTAATTGGCAATAAGAGTCTCACAGACTTTCCTGCCCAGGCTGGCTTCAAACTGAGATCTTCAGATCTGTCTCCTGAGTAGCTAGGATTACAGGTGTGAGCCATTGGCGTCCAGCACCTTTTTCTTTTTAATTGGAAATAAAGAGTATCACAAACTTTCCTGCACTACTTTGAACTGCTGTCCTGAGATCTTAGCCTTCTGAGTAGCTAGGATTACAGACATGAATCTCCAGTGTCTGGCATTCAGCTTATTTTTCTAAACTTTGTAGTTTTTATTGCTATTTTTATTTTATCTTATTTTTATTTTTTGCCAATGCTGGGACTTGAATTCAGGGCCGGTCACTGAGCCTTTCTGTGCTCAAGGCTAGCTAGCACTCTACCACTTGAGCCACAGCACCACTTCCAGCTTTTTCTATTTATGTGCAACTGAGGAATCGAACCCAGGGCTTCATGCATGCTAGGCAAGCACTCTACTACTAAGCCATACTCCCAGTCCTTTATTACTATTTTTTTTTGTTTTTTATTTTTTATTTTTTGGTCGTGGGGCTTGAACTTTGGGCCTGGGCACTGTCCCTCAGCTCTGAGCTCTAGAATTAGAGCCACAGCAGCATTTCCGGTGGAAATAAGAGTCTCATAGACTTTCCTGTCCAGAGTTGGCTTTGAAGTGTGATCCTCAGATCTCAGCCTCCTGAGTAGGTAGGATTACAGGTGTAAACCACAGGCACCCCCTCCGTTATTGCTATTTAAAATTTTTTTGTTGTTGTTGTTGGTCGTGGGGTTTGAACTCTGGGCCTGGACACTGTCCCTGAGCTCTTCAGCTCAAGGCGAGGGCTCTACTACTTGAGCCACAGCGCCACTTCTGGTTTTCTAGTGGTTTATTGGAGATAAGAGTCTCGTGGACTTTCCTGCCCCTGGTTGGCAGTTTTTGAATTCTGATCCTCACATCTCAGCCTCCTGAGTAGCTAGGATTACAGGCATGAGGCTGTAATTTAGGCACCCGGCCTAACTGAGGCCTTTTGTTCTCATTGTTGCTATGGCTTTCTAATTAATTGACATTCTTCAGTTTCTATCTCTTTCACTTATGTGACTTTAGACAATTTTACTCAACATAAAAAATCAGCATATATTAGTTGCACAAGGGGGTTTCATTGTGGAATTTCCAGCAATGTATGCAATGTATCTCTATCCACTTCACCTCACCTCTTCCATTACTCAGATTTACTCAACTTATTATTATTTTTGGGTCTGGTCGTGGGCCTGAACTCTGGGCCTGGGTGCTGTCCCTCAGATCTTCAGCTCAAGGCTAGCATTCTACCACTTGAGCCACAGCACCACTTCCGGCTTTTTTTTTTTTCTTATGTGGTGCTGAGGAATCGAACCCAGGGCCTCAGGCATGCAAGGCAAGCGCTCTACCACTGAGCCACCTTCCCAGCCCCAGATTTACTCAACTTTTAAAACTTTTTTTTTTGTCCAGTTCTGAGGCTTGAACACAGGGCCTAGGTGTTTCCCTGACTGCCTTAGCTCAGATCTCAGCCTCCAGAGTAGCTAGGATTACAGATGTGTACCAGCGCCGGCTAAATCCTTTTTTTTTTTTTTTTTGTCGGTCGAGGGGCTTGAACTTTGGGTTTGGGTGCTGTCCCTCAGCTCTTCAGGCCAAGCCTAGCGCTCTACCACTTGAGCCACAACACCACTTCCGGTTTTCTGAGAAGTTTATTGGAGATAAGTCTCACAGATTTTGCTGCCTGGGCTGGCTTTGAACCACTATCCACAGATCTCAGCCTCCTGAGTAGCTAGGATTACAGGCGTGAGCCACCGGGTAGCACCCGGCTTTTTGGTCTGTGTTTGGGCATGCCAGTCCCGGGCCTTAAACTCAGGACCTGAGCGTGGTGGTCCCTGAGCTTTTTATTTTTGCTCAAGGCTGGTGTTCTATAAGCCACAGCACCCCTTCCAACTTTTTGGTGGTAAATTGGAGCTATCCGGGCTAGCTTCGAACTCTGATCCTCAGGTCTCAGCGTCCTGAGTAGCTAGGATTATAGACTTGAGCATTGGCGTCCGGCCAGAATTTTAATTTTAAAAAGCCGGCTTCCATCAATTCTATGGAGAAGTGCAGGATCAGAACAGACACCCGGCTTCTTAGTTGGTTCCACCTTTCCCAAATAGTTAGGAGCAGAGTGTTGTGGGCTTTGTAGTAAGGTCCACAGGAGAGTCACTCCAATGGGTCTCCACCCTTTGAGGGCGTGAGACTACACTTCCCAGAAGTCTTCCCCGCCTGTTGTTTACTTGTCCCGCCTCCTATCTTCCTGTGACGCTATGTTCTCGGGGCCAATCAGTAGGCGGCGATTTGCAGTTCCAGGCTCTCTGATTGGTGCATTTGACTGGGCTGTCTGAGTTCAAAATTTCAACGGTACTGAGAGTCCCGCGGCGGGCTTGTGGCGCTTGGCAGCCAAAACTGTGGCAAGGTGAGGTGAGGAGAGCCGCGAGGAAGAAAAAGGGGAGCCCCCTGGGGCATTGGGGTTCCTTCTCCCTGTTTTTCGAACGGGTAGAGGTCGCTTAATCCCTAGCGCTGTCCGCGTCTCTCAGCCGGGCCTTTGAGACAGTTTCGCGCCTGGGCGCCGCCTAGATTGTGAGGTGAGAGCGGGGAGCCGGGCCGCCTGGTCTGTTGGTGGTGACAGGGCTTTGTCTTGATGTCTGTCGGGGAAATAAGAGATGCTGTCGGCTAATTAGCCACAGTTAGTTAATACGACAGTTGTTATAATCACCATAAAGCGTGCGCTTTCTCCAACTTAGCTCCGAGCTGTTACTAACCTCCCCCCTCCCCCCTTTCCACAGCTGGAAACCGAGGCCCAACTTTGGATAAATGACGGAAATAGTAGATCTGCTGTTATTGTGTAAGATAGGTAAATAAATGATGTGGCCACGAAATTGATGGAGAGTTTGGATTCCACTTGGAGTTGTCTTCTAGTTGGAATTTAAAATTCATTTTACGTTATTCGTATCTGTCTAGCACTCTCCCATTGTATCGAGTCAGTAGCTATTGCTTCTCTAACTTCCTTTCTGGAAACATTTAGAGATTGGAAGGGGGAGGGAAACTGTGACCCAGGATTGATTATCCCTATCCTTGTTTTGTCTTTTTTTTTTTTTTTAAACTACCCTTTATTTTCTTGTACTTTCTTTTTCTCAGAATTTTTTAGTTGTTCCCCTAAATCATTCCTGCCTAGAATAAAAGAGGAATTTTTGGTTTGTTTGTTTGTTTGTTTTGAGGCAGCATCCCACTTTAGCCCAGGTTGAAATTCAACCATTCCCGGACCCCAGCTTCCTTAGTGCTGAGATTGCAGGAGTAATGATACCTTTGACTCTCTGATTTTGCTTTTTAAAGTTCATCTACTGTTGTATTTCCTGGATTCATCCTTACCTTGTCTTCACAGCTCAGGGCCTTTCTTTGAATTTCTCCCATCAGATATTGTTGAAAAAAACTATTGAGAGAGAGGGGGCCAGGCACAAGAGAGGGAGGGAAGTATTTGCTGCCACAGTAAGAGTATTTTTTTCTTTCTTTTTTCCTTCCTTCTTTCTTTCTTTCTCCTTCCTTCCTTTCTTTTTTTGGAGAGTACTGGAGTTTGAATTCAGGACCTCTTGCAAAGGTTCTATCACTTAGGCCACACCTCTAGCCGAAAAATATTCTTATGGCCTTAGTGTATTATACCATCTGTCAGGCTTCCCTCCAGATCATGCTTGAGTATACTTGATTTGTTTAAGTGTATCTGTTTATACAATAGTATACGTTTGGTATCTGTGGGAATCTGGTTCTGAGGAGACCTCCATAGAGGAAAAACTATAAATGCTTTGATACACAGAGTTCAGTACTCTAAAATTACAGTCAGCAGATTACACGATTGTTTAAACACAACTGATGTTAACAGAGGAATGACAGCTTCTTATCAATGGAGCAGTGTAATGGGGTTGAGTTTTTTTTGTTTTTCTAATCTCCCTTGGTCAACCACCTGTAATCAGTGTATTAAAATGATTCTTCGGGCTGGGAAAGTGGCTCAGTGGTAGAGCGCTTGCCTTGCATGCATGAGGCCCTGGGTTCGATTCCTCAGCACCACATAAGAAAAAAGAAAAAAGCCGCAAGTGGTGCTGTGGCTCAAGTGGTAGAATGCTAGCCTTGAGCTGAAGAGCTGAGGGACAGCGCCCAGGCCCAGAGTTCAGGCCCCACGACTGGACCCCCCCCAAAAAAAAAAGGTTCTTCACTAGTTGTCATTCTTGGTTCTGTGGCTCCCAGTTAACTTAGTTAGTTAATTGTCTTAAGGTATACTGTGTGTTCTGGTTGGTGGTAGATACTGTGGGTATACAGATGTGTAATGTATTCAAGGACTTTCTGGTATGTTTGGGGACAAGAGACTCATGGACTTTCTTGTCCAGGTTGGCTTCAAACTGTGATCCTCAGATTTCTGCCTCCTGAGTAGCTAGGAATTGTAGGCATGCCAGTTGGCTTCAAACTGTGATCCTCAGATTTCTGCCTCCTGAGTAGCTAGGGATTATAGGCATGAGCCACTGGCTCCCAGCTTTCTACATTCTGTATTATGTATATTTTCAAAATGTTTCTTGTTCCCACTGTTTTTAACTTGCCAGAAAAGGAGGGTGGGTATTTTTTTTTGTTGGTCATGGGGCTTGAACTCAGGGCCCAGGCACAGTCACAAGGTTAGTGCTCCTACCACTTGAGCCATAGAGCTACTTTCAGTTTTCTAGTGGTTAATTGGAACTAAAAGTCTCATGGGCTTTCCTGCCTGGGCTGGTTTTGAACTGCAATCCTCAGATCTCAGCCTCTTGAATAGCTATGATTACAAGCGTGAGCCACTGACATCTGGTGAGGGTAGGGATTTAAATGTCTTTTGACAATTTTCTTTGCTAGAACTACAGTTATGAAGTAGAATTAACTATAGGGTGATTAAATAGCCCAACTTACCTCTGGAGAGATCTGTATTTGAGACAGACAGAGATCAGCAGCCCAAAGTACTTTGTGAAAATGGAATAGATTGAGAGGGTTTTTGTTGTTGTTGTTTGTTTGCTTGCATGGAAAAATAAATAGTAAAGAGGAAAGAAGTTAAAGGTGTAAAATTATAATAGGTTATGTAGCAATGTAGAAGACTTAGCAATAAAAAGGTAATACATTTGTTTATACTTTAAGTGAGGGCCTGTTATTTGTGATGATGTTTGAATAGAAGTATATGCTATCACCCCTCTGTGTCAGTGTTTCTACATTGTAGGCTTTGTGTAGATTGCTTTATAGTAAGGGGGTATAAAACAAAGAGACCAGGAAATAGCACATATACAATAAAAAGTTTAAGAAAAATGTTTTTACTGATGGAATAACAATCATTTAAGCTAAGCATGTTGGGAGATCCATGCTATTTGGCTCTCAGATGTACCTTTAGGTTTTCCTGACTGCTGTTCCTAAGCTTTTGTGCTCAAGGCTAGCACTCTTATCACTTTGAACCACTGCTCCACTTTCTGTTTTTGAGTGGTTAATTGGAGATAAGAGTCTCAGAGACTTTTCCTGCTTCCAACTACTCAGATCTCTGAGTAGCTAGGATTATAGGCGTGAGCCTCCAGCACCTGACTTACCTTTAGGTTTTGAGGGGGGTATCTTTAATCTTTATTTTAAGTTTCAAGTAGTAGACTTCCTGATAAAAATGTCAAAACAATTCATTACAAATGTAGGGAGGATAATTTTAAAAGTTCAGTAAAAAAAATTTAAATTTGAATATTTCTCATTGCTTTTCTCCTACTTTCAGGCTCTTAATAAGTATCTGTCAGACATCAAGATTTCAGAAGAGACAGGAAAGAGTATTGTAATTTGAGTCACGGCTGTAGACAAGTGGACTGGATAAATTGATCAAAACATAGGTAAGGCTGTGTCCACATGAGTTACATTAAAAAGAAATATGGGGTTTAAACTCTGGGCTCTGTCCCTCAGCTCTTCAGCTCAAGGCCAGTGCTCTACCACTGGAGCCACAGTGCCACTTCCGGTTTTCTGGTGGTTAATTGGAGATAAGAGTCTCATGGACTTTCCTGCCTGGGCTGGCTTTGAACCGTGATCTTCAGCCTCCTGAGTAACTAGGATTACAGGTGTGAGCCACCAGCACCCACCTTTTTCTTTTTAATATATAATTTTATTGTTTTTGTTTTTTGTTTTTTCACAATTCAGGTTATGAATACATTTCTCTTTTGGACAGCCACCCCTTCTTTCGATTTTCTCCAGTTCCCCCTCCTGTCCCTGCCTACAAGTTTAATATATATGTGTTTGTGCTGGTCTTGGAAATGTGGAGCCTGGGCTCTGTCCCTGTTCTCCTTTTTGTTCAAGGCTAGCACTCTACTACTTGAGTTTCACATCCAGCTTTTTGGGTAGTTTAGTGGAGATAAGAGTCTCATAGACTTTCCTGCCCAGGCTGGCTTCAAATTGCCATTGTTAGACCTCAGCCTTCTGATTAGCTACAATTACAGCTGTGAGCAAATCAAGATAAATAAAAAAATATTTTTCTAATCCTATCCCAGTCAATCTCTCTAGTTACTTAAAGGTAACTACTTTTATTATGTCCTTGGATTTATGTATATATGAATACATATGTATATGTCTTATATCCCAGGCTAGCCTTGAACTTGTAGTCATCCTGATTCTGCTGCAGGTTATAGGCTTGTGCTACATGCTAGGCTCAAGCAGGAATGTTTTGAAGGGTATAAAATCCTCCATGACTGAGTAATTAACATTTGACAAGATTTGTAACTTCCTGCAGCTCCATGTTAATTTTCTCTCAGCTTCTTAGTATTAGAATATTAGTGTACTTTGGGATATCGCAAATATTTCTTTTTTTGGGTCCAGTCGTGGCGCCTGAACTCTGGGTCTGGGTGCTGTCCCTCAGCTCTTCAGCTCAAGGCTAACGCTCTACCACTTGAGCCACAGTGCCACTTCTGGCTTTTTTCTTTATGTGGTGCTGAGGAATCGAACCCAGGGCCTCAGGCATGCAAGGCAAGCGCTCTGCCACTGAGCCACCTTCCCAGTCCCTCACAAATATTTCTTTGTGGAAGCCATGTCATTTTTTGGCCTAGAGCGCTGTCTCTGTACTCTTTTGCTCAAGGCTACTAGCACTCTAGGACTTTGATCCACAATCCCACTTCTGGTTTTTGAGTGGTTAATTGGAGATGAGACTCTCACAGGGGAGGGGATAACAATTCTCACTAGGAAATGTACTCATTACCTTACACATGTAACTGTAACTCCTCTGCACAGTATCTTTACAATAAGAAAAAAATATTAAAAAAAACTTCATTAAAAAAGAAAAAGAATGTCACAGGGACCTTTCTGCCTGGGCTGGCTTCGAACTGTGATCCTCAGATCTCACTCTCCTAAGTAGCTAGGATTACAGGCAGGAGCCATGGGTTCGCAGCTGGCCTAAGTAAGAATTTTTATAGCATCATTGATTTCTGTATGAGTTTTAGTCATTTAGGTTTATTGAGTTCTGTATATAAATTCTATGCATATATGAATGCAGTAGTTACTGAATTTGTAATCCTTTAGGAAGGGTGATATGAAACTCACTGGTTCAAAAAGAAATGATAGGAAAGTATTTGCTTGAGGTTCCTAGACAGTGATGAATTAGAACAAGTGTCCATGTGTCCTGCGATGCCTTTTGAGTGTTTGGACAGTTAGGGATTGTTACTGGACTTTAAATTAACCCAATTTTGGAAGCTTCATGGATCTGTTTCTGTAAACAGATCTGATTTCAGCATAGAGGTTAGCAAACATAGATGTGGAAACATGAAGTCCATTAAACTTCCTTCCTACTTAGATTATGGCTTTGATTAACAGTTAAAATTGTATTCTGGATTATGTTACAATTTAATGACTCCTCCTAATCCCTTATGTACAAGAAAAGAAAAAGGTAGATGTTTTTTCCTTGGGTAAATGAAAATAACTTGCTTATGGTAATATGAAAGGATCTCTTATCCCTTATGAAAATAGGTGGTGTTTCTGGGGAAATGGCATTGCTAGGATGGGATTATTTTAGCCTGCTACTTCTAAATACTTGCTTAACTCATGCTTTTCTCTCTAATAAAAATAGCAAGGAATATTTCACAAACTGCATTGTAAAGTGTTTGAGCATCTACCATACCAAAGTCTTTGTTTTTCTAGATACTGCTATTCCACTATTTCAACGCTGCTTAGAATGCGCCCTCTACAGCTTTCCCCTACCCACTCTGGACTGGCACCTTTTGATTTATAGAGCTTGTCAATGCTGGTTATTTTTGGTTTGAGAGTGAAGAGAGGTTGTAGGCAATGGGAGATTAATTTCAGATGAATGTGGAAACAAGTTACATTGCTTCCTCTGCAGTCTTCCGCAGGTGTATTTTTCTCCATTTGATTCCCCTTTTTACTGTTTTCTTCCTCCAGAAAAAGCCAACTATCATTTTTAACGTGTAGAACTGTGAAGATCTGTCAGTATCCTTTTTGTATCACTTCTAAGAAGCCTTCATTGGCTGTCCTTCGCTTTATTCTCTGCACTTCCTGATTTCCTTCTGTTTATGCCTATTAGAACAAGGATCACCATGTATTCTAATTGCTGTCTATATTTTCCATCCAACTATGAGTTCCTTAATGGAAAGGATTTTATAAAAATGTAAGCTTGCTAGCCTACATTGCCATTTACGGACTCCTGCTAATTCCTATGTTCAAGAAAAAAGTAGGTGTTTTCTCTGTATGCAAAATGAAAATGTGTGTGATGTTTTTTGAAAACAAGAAATGGGCATTATGATACGATAAGTGACATTTAAGAGGCAGGCTTAAAAAAAAAACATATATGATAGGCTTTTTCCTCAGGTTTCTGGTAGAATTCTTGGCCATTAATAGCTTATTTTTCCACTGATACAACATCTAGTTTTGTGGGAATCTTAGCTATGAGAGATTGAGATAATTTTGAAATATGAAACTGGTTCTCTTCTCTTGCTTGGCATCTTGGCAGCTTGATTTGTTTGGGGGAATGTGGTTGACGCATGTGTTTTTTTTTCCCCTGTTGACAGAAACTCAATCTTGATTAAGGGGGTGCAGGAAGGCATCCAGTTCCCACCATGCCTAGAGATCTCTCATTTAAATAATTGCCTGTTACTTTGGCCTATAGACTTTAAATTTTGAAGCTGTTGAATCCTAATATTTATTATTTTTGGCGAAACAGTGTGGTAAAACTGTCATGACCCAGCAATTACTTTTGGTTTTCTTCATGTCCATGTGCTTCAAGCTCTTATTGAAGAGGATCAGAGTTCTCAATGGATACATTTTTATTCGTTCCCATTTTGGGCTGGGAAGCAGTATGATGTCCTGAATTGGCTATACTAGACCAGATATTGCTCAAAAGAAGTGTTTAGAGGTCATGATAGGAAAAAATAAGTTTGGTTTTAAATTTTTGAGTAAAGATTAGATGTATTTGGATTTAGGTTTAGGTCTTTTTCCATCTATCATTCTGTTATCAAATGCAGTCTTAGCTCTTAGAGGACAATTCTTCTGATGCTTGAAACCTGCTTTATGGTCTTTTTTTTTTTTTTTTTTGGTGCCGGTCCTGGGACTTGACTCAGGACCTAGGCACTGTCTCTGAGCTTTTGTGCTCAGAGCTAGTATTCTACCACCTGGGCTCCAATTCTAGATTCTTTTTTTTGGGGGGGTGTAAGGTCGCTAATTGGAGATAATAATCTAATGGGTTTTCCTGCCTGGGCTGACTTGGAACTACAATTCTCAGATTGCAACCTCCTAAATAGCTAGAATTTCAGGTATGAGCCACCAGTGCTCAGCTCACAGTCTTTTTCACTCTAGAATACTAGATACAGGAATAAGTTTATATACAAAAGAATATACCTAGAAAGAAGGAACTAAGGGATGTTTTGTTTAAAGAAAGATTCAGCTCAGTGCTTTCTCAATATCATTAGAGAAAGTTCCTAATTTACCAATGTGTGTGTGTGTTTTCTCAAAGTCTCCCTACAAATGTGTAGCCCAGGCTGACTTCCATCCTCCTGGCTCAGCCTCTGGAGTACTAAGATTATATGACTACATCCAGCTTCAAAGTTTTCTTAATGACCAACTTGTCAGCACTGCTTAGAGTAGAATTTATATGCATTTGTCTTAACAGGTTAGGTGTTTGAAGGTTGTAACCAATAAAACAGTTCTGTTTATTATTATTTTTTGTGAGTCATGGGGATTGAATTCAGGGCCTGCGCACTATACCTGCGCTTCTTTTGCTCAAGGCTAATACTCTATCACTTGAGTCAGCATCACTTCCCGCCTTTTCTGCATATGTGGTACAGAGAAATGGAACATAAGTCTTCATGCATATGAGGCCAGCACTACAACTAAGCCATATTCCCAGACCTCAATAATACATTTCTGAAGGAATACTTATAGGAAAAGCCCTGCATATCAGCTAGGTTTGTTTTTTTTTTTTTTGGTCGGTGTGGGGCTTGAACTCTGGGCCTGGGCGCTGTCCCTCAGCTCTTCAGCTCAAGGCGAACGCTCTACCACTTGAGCTACAGCGCCACTTCTGGTTTTCTGGTGGTTTATTGGAGATAGGAGTCTCACGGTCTCTCCTGCCCGGGCTGGCTTTGAACTGTGATCCTCAGATCTCAGCCTCCTGAGTAGCTAGGATTTCAGGCATGAGCCACCAGCGCCCGGCTTTTTTTTTTTTTTTTAACCTTGTCTTTAGAACTGTCTATTGCTACCCACTAGTTGGTGATTTTGGAGTAGTACTTCTCTAACCCTGTTTCCTTATGGCAAAGTTATGATGGTAGTGTCTATATTGTTATTGTGGCTTAAACAAGGTGATTTATATAAACTATCTGGTAAGATAGTTGGCTTCAATAGACAATAT